TTTTCCTCCGATCACTTATTAAGAAATCCTAATGAAATTCATCGGACGAACAAAATCGTTAATATTATTTTCATTGCTCGAAGAAAGAAAGAAAGAAAGACGTAGATATAAAGTGTAATACCCTAACGTAATGATCGTGAGTTCGTCGAAACCGGTCATGTCTTCTTGTCGAGTATACCCACGCAATACTCCCACGTATCCGGTATCATCGAGACAAAGAAGAAAAAGAAAAAGAAAAAGAAAAAAAAGAAGAAGAAGAAGAAGAAGAAGAAGAAGAAATACCGTTTTTTCTATTTTCGTTTTTTCTCTTTACTTTTTCTTATTTTTTTTCTTTTTTCTTTTTTATTTTTTTATTACTATCATCTCATTGGTCTCATTTGGTATATCACGTACGAGATGAGAATAACTACGACGATATTAAATCATAAGAGATAGATAATATTTATTCGACGAAAGAATAAATAAAGAAAAAGAAAAATAAAATAAACTATAATAATAATAATAATAATAATAATAATAATAATAATAATAATAATAATAATAATAATAATAATTTCTCGACATAGGAATTATGGAAAATCTGACTTATTCCTGTATTGCTCTTTCGTGTGCACTTTTAGTCGCTCTTGATGTTCCTAGAGAGAATCGATAGAATACACACACATAGATATATACGCACATACATTCTCTCTCTCTCTCTCTCTCTCTCTCTCTCTCTCACCCTTTCATGTCAGAGCATTTCAGTTGAAACGATGGGTCTATCGAGCTCTGTCATTGGGAATCTAGACATCCGCGTTCTACTATATCGTGATACAGGCAACCGGAAAGAGCCTTGTGTACCTTCCATTCACTCCTATTGTCCTTTATTTCAAAGGAAAGCATCGAGTAGGGTCACTAATGTGAAATATCCAAGGCGAATTTCTACTATTTTCTCTTTCTCTTTCTAATCTCTCTCTCTCTCTCTCTCTCTCTCTCTTTCTCTCTCTTTCTCTTTCTCTCTTACTCCTTACTCTTATCTGTTTCTATGGTAATTAACGTCAACGTAAATGAATAGTTATTTACATACTTATAAATGCTTTCTAAATGTTTAAAGAAAATTTCTATTTGTATATTATAATGGTGAAATTTTAATAATTTTTGTAATATAAATTTCTAATAGAGTAAAGAAGAAATTTATGTTGTTGTCGTTTAGAACGAAAGTGATCGATAGAAAGAAATTTCATCGATTGCCTTAGTTATCGTTTCAGGCCGACATTGTACCGATGACGACAACGAAAACGAAAACGAAAACGAAAACGACGGCGTTATCTCACGCGTCGATTGATTTCAACGCTGCGCGATTCAATGATTTATGCCTTTTCATAATGGAATCCGTCCGATCGAACTCTTGAACGTATTTTCAACCGAACGACGATTTGTTGGGTTAAACGAGCACGTTCCCGGTTACCGAATCGAATAACTATGCGAACGTGTTCGTAAAATGGAGGTAAAAAGAAAAAAAAAAGGAAGAATGGAGAAAAAGAAAAATATAAAAAAAAAAGAAAAAAAAAAAAAGGAAAAAGAAAAAATTGAATTTCGCGTTCCGAGGAAAAAGATCGATCGATTAATCGCAGTGATTTATAAAGATTTAACTTGACATATGTATGATATATACGTATATATGTCATATGATATAATGCTATATATATATATATATGTGTGTGTGTGTGTGTGTGTGTGTATGTATGTTTGTGTGTGTGGTAATATACAAAATTAAAAAAAAGTATTATTCACGTATAAATGTATATTGTGATATATAATATTTGCTAACATAAAATTCTTGACAGCTCCTTTCGAACACCTTCTAACGGTAGTTACATAAGCGAAAGCAAAACTAAAGTTCTATCGTGCTGTTGAACCGGCTGTTACATCCAGATAGGTATATACAACTCTGACGTATATATCTCGTTGAATCTTTCACAACTTATCTTCGTAAGCTATAATTTCAGTAACGTTGGTATATCATTGAAATAAACATGCTGCTTCTATACTAAACTTCGAATAATTAGACTCATTATAAAACTTCCATAGATCTATTCAATCTAACATAACGCAATCACGTTTAACAAATTTATCGACCATATATATATATATATATATATATATATATATATGTATGTATGTATGTATGTATGTATGTATGTATGTATGTATGTATATATATTTATATATTATTGTAATATATGTTATATATAAATATTATATGGATAATAATATAGAATGTCCATTAGGATTATAAAATCTAATGATTATTTTTAAAAAAACACCGAGGCCGATCAATTTTGTCATTTTCATCCCTGTCGCCATTTAACATTTTTGAATTTTAAGGGTATTTTTTTAAGGTTTAATGTTTTATCCCCACTTAGATGATATAGCTACGGAGTGGGTGAATATATGATAAAGGCTTGACGTAACGATATAGATAAGACAAACGTGATAATTTTTCTCGAAATATTATGAA